GGAGGCAGGATCCATACAACTTTGCGAGTAGAAAAAGTTCCGGCTCGGGAGAGTGACCTTTTTGGACAGTAAAGAGGCGGGGCCAGGGCTCGGACTCGACCCCCGCAACCTCAACTGGGTTTGACACACACACACACACGCCGCACACACACACACACCAAAAACACAAAACACCCCCACCCCCACAACACACACAAAACACACCACACACACACACACACACACACACAACACACACACACACACACACCCACAACACATATATATTATATATAAATTTTAAAAATTTATTATATAATTATATATATATTTATATATTTTTAAAAATTTTTTTAAATTTTATTATATTATATATTATTAAATATTATATAATATATATATATTTTAAAATATAATAATAAATTTTTTAAATATTTTTTATATATATATATTATATATTATATATTATATATATATTATATATAATAAATATATATATATATATATATAAATATATTATTTTTATATTATATATATAATTATATAATATATATTATTTTATTAAAAATTTTAAATAAAATTATTATAATTTATGTTTTTGGTGTCGTGTGTGTGGTGTTGGGTGTGTGTGTGTGTGTGTGTGTGTGTGTGTTGGGGTTTTGGTGTGTGTGTGTGTGTGTGTGTGTGTTTTTGTGTTTATGTGTTGTGTGTGTGTGTGCGTGCGTGTGTGTGTGTTTTCCTCCCTATTTTATAAAAATTATAATATATAAAAAATATAAAAATTATATTATATATTATATATATTATATGTCGGCCAAATGGGCAGAACTTGCTATCTTGGCAAATAGCAACGTCATTTTTCCTATAAGCCAAGCGAAAACTTGTGTATGTAAAAATTCCCCCAAAAAAATTATTTAAAACTAACGAAAAAATATATTTCATTGTGTTTTGTTTTTTTTAATATTGTAAACTTATCTAAATATATTTAGTTGGATTGGGCAAAAAAAAAATGTTGCGCTTGTTTAATAAGGTTAGGTAGTTTTCTAAGGTCTTTTGGTGCAAAATTTAAAAAATTTTTACTTAACTTTAATGAAAAAAATAAATCTTTAAACTATAAGAAAAATTTGGGAAAGGATTTAAATTTTTAAAAGTTTTCCCTTGCTAATTGTCAATTTTCCCTTTTGGGACGCATTATTTATGATAGATATAGGATGTACATGTTTTTAGAGAGGCAAGATTTTTTTAGATCCTTTTTGTTTTTGCTACATGGGTAAAAGGTAGATGGGATACAAGGAAATTTGAAGATCAGGAAAGGAGAGGTGAAGGTTTTTTAAACTAAAGAGAGGGCAGTTAGGGGAAGTATAAACAGTATTGGAGGATAGGGTGGGGTCAAGGATAGGGGAATGGGGTCGAAGAGGATGGGGTAGGATTAAAAAAAGTAGTGTTAGAGTGTTTTAGCGAAGTTTGTGGTTTCAGGAAAGGGGTGCAGGGGGAAGAGGAGCGATTGGGGGAATGTGATGTAAAGAGAAATAAAAGGGAGAAAAAAAGTTAGCATATGAGAAGTTTTTGCAAAGTAGAAGTGATGAAGGAGGGAAGGTATTGGAAAAAAGAGAGAGGTTAAGAGATGGTGAAGCAATTTTAAAAAAAAGAGCAAATGGGGAAGGGGGTGAGAGTTATCACAAATTTTGTTAAAAAAAAGAAAAAATTTTGGAGTAGATTAAAAAGTTAAAGGGAAACTAGAGAACAAAATGGATTTGTCATTTAAAAAAAGGAGAGGAGAGTTATTTAAAAGGGGAGTTAGGATATTTTGGGGGGGGAGGAAAATTTTGAGGAATTGTTAAATGTTGAGAAGTTAGGGAAACGTGTTTTGTGTTAGGGCAAGGGGGAATAACATCTTGTAGGGGGGAAAGAGCCAGTTGTGGTGTGAGGGGAAATTCATGAGGGAGAATGAAAGAGGGGAAAAGGGAGTGGGGTTGAGGGATGAAGACGAAGTGTTAAAAGCAGGGGGGGATATATTTTTTGGGGTGGTTAGTGCTTTTAAATTTTAAAAATGAAGGGACCTAGTTCCCTTTTTATAAAGACAAAAAGGGGAAAAAAAGAGTGCAAAAATTTTGGGAAAAAAGTCTGTTGGTTAAACCCCGGTAAAGTGTATGGGAGGTTATTATTTAAAAATTAAGAAAAGCGGCGAGTAGGGTAGCAGATGAAAAGGGGGCTTTAGGAAATTTAGGGGTTTTTGGACCAAGGGTTTCAGTGAAACATTAAAAATGAACAGATTTAATAAGGTAAAAAAGGTTTTTGGGGGATTTGTGGGTTTGGAAAAAAATGTATGACAGGGTGGGTGGGAGGCAATGTGGCGATGTTGCGGTGTATGGTGTGGGGGTAGGGTTTCTGGAAAGCAGTGAAGGTTTTTTCGAGGGTAGGAGGTCAAGTTGAGTATGTAGGGAAAAAGGGAAATTATTTCCCAGTAAAAGTGGCCTTAGACAAGGGGTGTGTGATGTCACCCTGGTTGTTAATTATTTATAGATGGGGTTGTAAGAGAAGTAAATGTTCGGGTGCTTACCTGGAGTTTACCTGGAGAGAGCTCCGGGGGTCAACGACCCCGCGGCCCGGCCTGTGACCAGGCCTCATGGTGGATCAGAGCCTGATCAACCAGGCTGTTACTGCTGGCTGCACGCAATCCACAGCCCAACTGGTCAGGTATCGACTTTATGTGCTTGTACAGTGCCTGCTTGAGGATAGCCAGGGGTCTATTGGTAATCCCCCTTATGTATGCTGGGAGGCAGTTGAACAGTCTCGGGCCCCTGACACTTATTGTATGGTCTCTTAACGTGCTAGTGACACCCCTGCTTTTCATTGGGGGGATGTTGCATCGTCTGCCAAGTCTTTTGCTTTCGTTGTGAGTGATTTTCGTGTGCAAGTTCGGTACTAGTCCCTCTAGGATTTTCCAGGTGTATATAATCATGTATCTCTCCCGCCTGCGTTCCAGGGAGTGTGGGGGTTTAAAGATAAAAAATCTAATACAAAGTGGGAGTTGTCACAGTTGCTCTCTGCTGATGACACTGTACTTTTGGGAGATTCTGAAGAGAAGTTGCAGAGGTTGGTGGATGAATTTGGTAGGGTATGTAAAAGAAGAAAATTAAACGTGAATATTGGAAAGAGTAAGGTGATGAGGATAACAAAAAATTGGGAAATGGAAGATTGGATATCAGACTGGAGGGAGAGAGTATGAAGGAGGTGAATGTATTCAGATATTTAGGAGTGGACGTGTCAGCGGATGTGGTCTGTGAAGGATGAGGTGAATCATAGAATTGATGAGGGGATGAAGGTGAGTGGTGCACTGAGGAGTCTGGAGACAAAGAACTTTATCCATGGAAACAAAGAGGGGAATGTATGAGAGTATAGTTATACCAACACTCTTGTATGGGTGTGAAGCATGGGTTGTAAATGTTGCAACAAGGAGAAGGCTGGAGGCAGCGGAGATGTCATGTCTGAGATGTCATGTCTGAGATGTCATGTCTGAGATGTCATGTCTGTGTGGTGTGAATATAATGCACAGAATCCGTTGTTTGGAAATTACGAGGTGTAGGGTTACCAAAACTATTATCCAGAGGGCTGAGGAAGGGTTGTTGAGGTGGTGCTGAGGAGGGGTTCTCAAGGTGGTGCTGAGGAGGGGTTGTTGAGGTGGTGCTGAGGAGGGGTTGCTGAGGTGGTGCTGAGGAGGCGTTGTTGAGGTGGGGCTGAGGAGGGGTTGTTGAGGTGGTGCTGAGGAGGGGTTGCTGAGGTGGTGCTGAGGAGGGGTTGCTGAGGTGGTGCTGAGGAGGGGTTGCTGAGGTGTTACTGAGAAGGGGTTGCTGAGGTGGTGCTGAGGAGGGTTTGTTGAGGTGGTGCTGAAGAGAGGTTGTTGAGGCGGTGCTGAGGAGGGGTTGTTGAGGTGGTGCTGAGGAGGGGTTGTTGAGGTGGTGCTGAGAAGGGGTTGTTGAGGTGGGGCTGAGGAGAGGTTGTTGAGGTAGTGCTGAGGAGGGGTTATTAAGGTGGTGCAGAGGAGGGGTTGCTGAGGTGGTCTGAACATGTAGAGAGGAAGGAACGACATAAAATGACGTTGAGAGTGCATAAATTTATAGTGGAGGGAAGGCGGGGTAGGGGTCGGCCTAGGAAAGGTTGGAGGGACGGGGTAAAGGAGGTTTTGTGTGCGAGGGGCTTGGACTTCCAGCAAGTGTGCGTGAGCGTGTTAGATAGAAGTGAATGGAGACAAATGGTTTTTAGGGCTTGACGTGCTGTTGGAGTGTGAGAAGGTAACATTTACGAAGGGATTCAGGGAGCCTGGCAGGCCGGACTTGAGTCCTGGAGATGGGAAGTATAGTGTCTGCACTCTGAAGGAGGGTGTTAATGCTCCAGTTTTATAACTGTAGTGTAAAGTACCTATGGCAAGACAGAGATGGACTGAATGATGGTGAAAGTTTTTCTTTTTTGGGCCACCCTGCCTTGGTGGACCACCCTGCCTTGGTGGACCACCCTGCCTTGGTGGACCACCCTGCCTTGGTGGACCATCCTGCCTTGGTGGACCACCCTGCCTTGGTGGACCACCCTGCCTTGGTGGACCACCCTACCTTGGTGGACCACCCTGCCTTGGTGGACCACCCTGCCTTGGTGGACCACCCTGCCTTGGTGGACCACCCTGCCTTGGTGGACCACCCTGCCTTGGTGGACCACCCTGCCTTGGTGGACCACCCTGCCTTGGTGGACCACCCTGCCTTGGTGGACCACCCTGCCTTGGTGGACCACCCTGCCTTGGTGGACCACCCTGCCTTGGTGGACCACCCTGCCTTGGTGGACCACCCTGCCTTGGTGGACCACCCTGCCTTGGTGGACCACCCTGCCTTGGTGGACCACCCTGCCTTGGTGGACCACCCTGCCTTGGTGGACCACCCTGCCTTGGTGGGAGACGGACGATGTGTTAATAAATAATAAAATATCTTTAACAAAAATGGACACCAATTTGTAAATATTAATTTATTTCACAGACACAACTGAAGGAAACCTCACAAAACATCCGTCAGATCAACAGTGTGACCATCACTGGCAACGCCACTATGGAATGGATCAAGTGCAAGAATTGTCAAAGTTTTCGTAAGTCAACTTAAATTATTCCCTGACAAAGATCTTTAATAAGTCTGGTATAAGATTTATATCATTATCTTAAATTATTCCCTGACAAAGATCTTTAATAAGTCTGGTATAAGATTTATATCATTATCTTAAATTATTCCCTGACAAAGATCTTTAATAAGTCTGGTATTAAGATTTATATCATTATCTTAAATTATTCCCTGACAAAGATCTTTAATAAGTCTGGTATAAGATTTATATCATTATCTTAAATTATTCCCCGACAAAGATCTTTAATAAGTCTGGTATAAGATTTATATCATTATCTTAAATTATTCCCCGACAAAGATCTTTAATAAGTCTGGTATAAGATTTATATCATTATCTTAAATTTATCCCTGACAGAGATCTTTAATAAGTCTGGTATAAGATTTATATCATTATCTTAAATTATTCCCTGACAAAGATCTTTAATAAGTCTGGTATAAGATTTATATCATTATCTTAAATTATTCCCTGACAAAGATCTTTAATAAGTCTGGTATAAGATTTATATCATTATCTTAAATTAAATTCCCTGACAAAGATCTTTAATAAGTCTGGTATAAGATTTATATCATTATCTTAAATTATTCCCTGACAAAGATCTTTAATAAGTCTGGTATAAGATTTATATCATTATCTTAAATTATTCCCTGACAAAGATCTTTAATAAGTCTGGTATAAGATTTATATCATTATCTTAAATTATTCCCTGACAAAGATCTTTAATAAGTCTGGTATAAGATTTATATCATTATCTTAAATTATTCCCTGACAAAGATCTTTAATAAGTCTGGTATAAGATTTATATCATTATCTTAAATTATTCCCTGACAAAGATCTTTAATAAGTCTGGTGTAAGTTTTATATCATTATCTTTAATTATTCCCTGACAAAGATCTTTAATAAGTCTGGTATAAGATTTATATCATTATCTTAAATTATTCCCTGACAAAGATCTTTAATAAGTCTGGTATAAGATTTATATCATTATCTTAAATTATTCCCTGACAAAGATCTTTAATAAGTCTTGTATAAGATTTATCATTATATCTTAAATTATTCCCTGACAAAGATCTTTAATAAGTCTGGTATAAGATTTATATCATTATCTTAAATTATTCTCTGACAAAGATCTTTAATAAGTCTGGTATAAGATTTATATCATTATATTGTAGATCAATATTTGTGGTTTGTCTCACTAGACACCCAGAGTTGTCTTCACATATTAACACCAAACATTGTCTTGTCTTCACATATTAACACCAAACATTGTCTTGTCTTCACATATTAACACCAAACATTGTCTTGTCTTCACATATTAACACCAAACATTGTCTTGTCTTCACATATTAACACCAAACATTGTCTTGTCTTCACATATTAACACCAAAGATTGTCTTGTCTTCACATATTAACACCAAACATTGTCTTGTCTTCACATATTAACACCAAACATTGTCTTGTCTTCACATATTAACACAACCATTGTCTTGTCATCACATATTAACATCAAACATTGTCTTGTCTTCACATATTAACACCAAACATTGTCTTGTCTTCACATATTAACACCAAACATTGTCTTGTCTTCACATATTAACACCAAACATTGTCTTGTCTTCACATATTAACACCAAGCATTGTCTTGTCTTCACATATTAACACCAAACATTGTCTTGTCTTCACATATTAACACCAACCATTGTCTTGTCATCACATATTAACATCAAACATTGTCTTGTCTTCACATATTAACACCAAACATTGTCTTGACTTCACATATTAACAAAAAACATTGTCTTGCCTTTATATATTAACACCATTGTCTTGTCATCACATATTAACATCAAACATTGTCTTGTCTTCACATATTAACACCAAACATTGTCTTGTCTTCACATATTAACACCAAACATTGTCTTGTCTTCACATATTATCACCAAACATTGTCTTGTCTTCACATATTAACACCAAACATTGTCTTGTCTTCACAATTAACACCAAAAACATTGTATTGTCTTCACATATTAACACCAAACATTGTCTTGTCTTCACATATTAACACCAAACATTGTCTTGTCTTCACATATTAACACAAAACATTGTCTTGTCTTCACATATTAACACCAAACATTGTCTTGTCTTCACATATTAACACCAAACATTGTCTTGTCTTCACATATTAACACCAAACATTGTCTTGTCTTCACATATTAACACCAAACATTGTCTTGTCTTCACATATTAACACCAAACATTGTCTTGTCTTCACATATTAACACCAAACATTGTCTTGTCTTCACATATTAACCCCCAAACATTGTCTTGTCTTCACATATTAACACCAAACATTGTCTTGTCTTCACATATTAACACCAAGCATTGTCTTGTCTTCACATATTAACACCAAGCATTTTCTTGTCTTCACATATTAACACCAAACGTTAACTTGTCTTCACATATTAACACCAAACATTGCCTACTAACACCCAGGTACCTGATTGTTGTTAGAACAAGAGGGACAGCACTTGTAAGGTGACTAATACCCGGGTACCTACTTACTGCTAGGTGAACAGAGACAGCAGGTGTCCTAATGAAACACGCCCCAGTATTCCCACCCATACCGGGGATCGAGCCTAGGACCTCAGTGTGTGCGCTGAGTGTGTTACCAACCCAGCTCTGGGACTTACATTAACTGCTGCTTCATATAATTAATATTGCGTTATTTAATAAACTATGTAATTCAGTAATTTATAGGCATGTGATTTTCAAAAAGTCTGTAGAGTTTTTTTCATAAATATTATTCGGGTTTAATTGGTTAAGCTTATTAATTAATTATTTTTACCTACAATAATCCAGCTGCCATCACCAACATAGCAACTGTAGCACCTCTAGCAACATACCAATTCACCCCTGGCACCACTAACAACATAGCAACAGTGGTGTTGTTGGTGGTTGTTGTGGTGTTGATGGTGACACTGGCAGTCACCACAGTCTACATACGTCATCTCAAGAAGAAGTCATCTCAAAGTAAGTAACTCCGTCTTCAACAGTTACTTTACTAACAAATATCTAGAATATTCAAGTTTGATATTATATTTCTACTCTCTTATGTGCCTTGTTAGTCTAGATAATTTTTGCCAGGAAACAAGACACGTGTTTCCTGACGCTTGTGTTAGTTATATGATAACCCGCAGCTCGGTCATCTGACCGAGACCTTCCGCTGGCTTTCCTGCCCACCCCTTTAAAAATTAAGATTATAATTATAACCATTTTCATCAATGAAAGATTGATGTCGTCCACGCTTCCTTACACCATGCTGATAACGCTGACAATGTCTGAGAAGCATGGATGTCAGCCATCACTATGTGGCTGAGTCAGCCATCACTATGTGGCTGAGGCAGCCCTGAATATGTGGGGATTTACCTCCCCTATGGGCTGGTCAGCCCTCAAATTGTGGTGAGTAAACCAAACACTATGGGGTGAGGCAGCCATGGGCTATGTGGGGTGAGGCCCGCCCTCACTATGTGGCTGAGTCAGCCCTTGGGCTAAAGTGGCTGAGGCAAACCATCACTTTGTGGGGTGGGGGTCGCCATGACTATGTGGCTGATTTAGCACCCCTTTGTGGCGAGGCGGGGGGCCCTTTAATATGTGGCTGAGGGCAGCCGACTTTGTGGCTGAGTCAGCCATTTACTATGTGGCGGTTTAGCCATCCCCATTTTGGGGGGAGGCAGCATGATATGTGGCGAGTCAGCCATTTACTATTTGGGTGGGTAGCATCCCCAGGGGGCTGGGGGCAGCCCTTGGGCTATGTGGCTGGGAAACAGCCATCCCCCTAAGTGGCTGAGTCAGCCTCACTGTGTGGCGGGGGTCAGCCATTTCCCCATGTGGCTGAGGGGAGCCATGACTTGGTTTGGCTGAGTCAGCCATCACATGTGGCTGAGTCCGCCATCCCCCATGTGCCTGAGGCCCCCCCAGTATGTGGGGTGAGTAGCCATGACTCGTTGGGTTTAGTCAGCCATCCCTATTTTTTGGGGGGGAGGGCAGCCATGACTTTGTGGCTGAGTCACCCATGACAAGTGGGCTGAGTCAGCCATTTACAAAGTGGCTGGTCAGCCATGATATGGGCTGGTTTAGCCCAAAGACTATTTTGGCTGAGTCAGCCCAAAGACTAGTTTGGGGGGTCGCCAAATATGTGGCTGGGTCAGCCATGACTATGTGGCCGAGGGCAGCCCCTCATATTGGGAGTCAGCCCTGACTAATTTGGGCCCAGTCCAAACCATGACTATGTGGCTGAGTCGCCATGACTATGTGGCTGAGACAGCCATGACTATGGGGGCTGAGTCAGCCCCTGACTATGTGGCTGAGTCAGCCATCAATTTGTGCTGAGGGCGCCTTTACTATGTGGGGGGAGTCAGCCAAAACCCATGGGGGCTGAGCCAGCCATGCTATGTGGCTGTGTCAGCCCGGCCCATGTGGCTGAGTAGGCCATCACTTGTGACTGAGTCAGCCAAAGACTTGGCTTTTGGGAAGCCCTACTTGTGGGAGCGTCAGCCTTTTATTGGGGGGTAGCCATGCCCATGGGCTGGTCAGCCATCACTTGTGGCTTTTAGTCAGCCATCAATAAGTGGGGTGGGGTCAAACCATAAATATGTGGTGGTGAGGCAGCCATGATATTGGCTGAGTCAGCCATGTTTTTGTGGTGGTAGCCATGCTTTGTGGGTTTGGGCAGCCTCACTATGTGGCTGAGGGCCCGCCCTCACTATGTGGGTGAGTCAGCCATGACTATGTGGGGAATCATTTCCCTCCCAAAGTGGCTGAGTCAGCCATCAAAATGGTTTGGGTGGGGTAAGCTATTTACTTGGGGGCTGAATTTTTTTGCCATCAATTTTTGTGGTTTAGACAGCCATCAATATGGGGGCTGGTTGGTCAGCCCCTTTTAAATGTGTGGCTGGGGTCAGCCTCCCCTTTGTGCTGAGCCCGGGCCCCAAAATGTGGCTGAGTCAGCCATCAATATTTTTGGCTGGTCAGCCTTTACTTTGTTGCTGAGTCGCCTTTACTATGTTTTCTGAAGTCAGGGCCTTCCTTTTTGTGGTGAGTCAGCCATTCATATGTGATTGAAATCCCCCCATCACTATGTGGGCTGAGTAGCCTCAATTTTTGGCTGAGGGCAGCCAAACAGTATGAGGCTAAGGCCCGCCTCACTAAGGGGCTGAGTCAGCAAACAGCATGAGGTGAGAAAAGCCATTTAGGATGTGGCCGAGGGCCGCCATCCCCTATTTTGGTTGACTCAGCCATCACTATGTGACTTAAATCTGCCATCGCTTTTGGGTTTCTGAGTCAGGGGCCCTCACTGTGTGGTTTAGGCAGCCATCACTGTGTGGGGTGAGGGCAGCCCAAAACTATGTGGCTTTAATCAGCCAAACAAATATTGGCTGAGGGCAGCCATCAATTTTGGGCTGGCTGGGGTCAGCCATGCTTTTTGTGGCTGAGTTTGCCATCAATGTTGCTGAGTTTAGCCCTCAAATTTTTGAGCTGAGAAGGTTTACTATGTGGGTGAGTCAACCCCTCACTTTTATGGGCCCAGTCAGCCATCACTATGTTTCCTGAGTCAGCCCCCCTTCCCCCATGTGGCTGAGTCCCGCCAACACTTGTTCTGAGTCAAACCATCAATTTGAGGCTGAGAAGGTAAACACTTTGTGGCTGGTCACCCCTACCCATGTTTGCCCGAGTTAGCCCCCAATTTGGGGCTGAGGGAAAGGTTTTCCCCTATGTGGCCCAAGCCAACCATCACGGTTTTGGCCGAGGTTTAACCAACCCCTTGGGTGGGGTCACCCTTTACTATGTGGGGTGAGTCAGCCATCACTGTGTGGCTGAGTCAGCCATCACGTTGTGCCTGAGTCGCCATCACTAGGGGGCTGAGTAGCCATCAAATTGTTTGGGTGAAGTCAGGGCCTCACTATGTGGCTGAGTCAGCCCTCATATGTGGCTGAGTCGCCTTTATTTTGTGGGGAGTCAGCCATTTACATTTGGGGGTGGGGATAGCCTTTACTACGGCTGAAATAGCCATCAATATGTGGGTGAGTCGGCCCTCCCCTATGTGATGAGTCAGGACCTTGGGGACTGAGGGCCGTCACCTATATGGCCCAAGTCAGCCATCATTTTGTGATGAGTCAGCCATCCAAAGTGGTGAGGTTGGCCATCACTGTGTGGTGAGTCACCTTACTATGGGGTGAAGGGCTGCCAAGACTATGTGGCGAGTCAGCCCCCCACTATGTGGCTGTGGGCAAACCATCATATTTTGGCTGGGTGGGTCGCCCAAACTGGTGTCCCGAGTCGCCATTTTGTATGACGCTGAGTCAGCCCTTTACTATGTGACCCGAGTCAGCCTCACTATGTGGCTGAGTTTTACCATCACTATAAAGGCTAAATCAGCCAAAAAAATTTTGGTTTTGGGGCTGAGTCCCGCCAAACCTTTGGGGCTGAGTCAGCCATCACTGTGTGGGGTGAGCGCCATCCCCCTATGTGTTTGAGTAAGCCATGAATGAGGCTGAGGCAGCCATCACCCTTTTGGCCCAGGGGGGCCCCCCAATTGTGGCGGCTTGGTCGCCTAACTGTTGGCTGGGGTCAGCCTCAGTATGTTGCTGGGTCAGCCATCAATTGCGGCTGAGTTTAGCCATAATTTTGCGGCTGAGTCAGCCATCCTATGTGGTTGAGTTTTACTCATCACTATTTTGGACTTGGGCTGCCATCACTTGTGGCTGAAGGGAAACCATCAGTTGAGGGCTAAGGGAGCCTTTACTTTTTTGGGGTGAGTCAGCCACCCAGAGGGTGAGAAGCCATCAGTTGTGGCGAGTTCCCCCAAACAAATATGTGGGTGAGTCAAACCAAACACTATGGACTAAATCTGCCCCCACTATGTTGCTTTAGGGGCCATCACTGTGTGGCTGAGTCAGCCATGGGGGCTATGTGGCGAATTAAACCTTTCCCCTGGGGGTGAGTCAGCCATCAATAAAGTGGCTGGCTGGTAAGGGCCCTGACTCTTTTTTCTGAGGGGAAACCATCAATAGAGCCTGAGGGCAGGTATCACTATGTGGCCCGAGTCAAAAATCACTGTATGGCCGAAATTCCCGCCAAACATATGTGCCGGAAACAGCCAAAACCCCCTATGTGGCTGAGGGCAGCCATGGCTATGTGGCTGACGTCAGCCATCAAATTTGTGGGGTGGCTGAGTTGGGAAAGGGCTATGTGGCTGAGTCAGCCATCACTATGTTTTCTGGTCAGCCATTTACTAAAGTGGCTGAGTCAGCCAACACTGTATTTGGCCCAGTCAGCCTTTACTTTTGGCCTGAGCAGGGCCCTCACATGTGGCTGAGTCCAAACCAACAAATATGTGGTGAGTCAGCCCCCCTATGTGGGTTTAGGCCCGCCATCACTAAAGTGGCTGGGGTCGTTTTCACTAAAGTGGTGAGTCAACCATCACTGTATGGCCCAGTCAAACCCTAATATGTGCCCGAGTCAGCCATCACGTTGTGCCCGGTCAGCCATCATAGTGGCTGATCAGCCCCCCCCCTATTTTGGCTGAGTCACCCATCACTATGTGACTGAGTCCCCCTCACATTTGGGGTTTAGTCAGCCATCACTATGTGGCTGAGGGGCAAAACCCTCACTATTGGGGGCTGAGTCAGCCTAATATTTTGGGTGAGTCGCCATCACTATGTTGGGCTGGTCCCCCCATCAAATATGGCTAAAATCAGCCTCAAATATGTGACTGAGTCAGCCATCACTAAGTGGCTGAGTCAGCCATCACTGTTGGCTGAGTCAGCCCTCCCCTGTGTTTGGGTGGGGTCGGGCCCTGAAAATGTGGGGTGAGTCAGCCATCATATGTGGCTGAGACCGCCAAACAAAAATGTGGCTGGCTGGGTAGCCATAACTGTGTGACCGAGTCAGCCACATTTATGTTGTTTGGGGCAGCCATCAATATGTGAAATGGTCCGCCATCAATATGCGGCTGGTCAGCCATCACTTTTGTGGGCTGGGGTAGCCAAAACACTATGTGACTGAAATCAGCCATCAATTTTGTGGTGAGCAGCCCTCAGTATGTGGCTGATGTCCGCCATCCAAAATTGGCTGAGTTCCCCCCTTTACTCTGTTTACTAAGTCAGCCTTTAAATTATTGCCCGAGTCAGCCCTCACTGTGTGGTTTAGCAGGGCCCTCACTGTTTTGGCTGAGTTTAGCCCGGGCTATGTGGGGTGAGTAGCCATCAATTGTGGTGGGGTGAGTCCCGCCCTGACTATGTGGGTGGGGGTAGTAATCCCCTTGTTGCGTGCGCCACAATATGAGGTTTAGACAGGTATCAAATAGTGGCTTTAGTAACCTTTATTTTTTGGCCCAGTAAACCATCACTATTGCCGAGTCACCCCCACTATGTGGGTGAGTCAGCCTTTACTGTGTGGCGAGTCAGCCATCACGTTTTTTGCCTGAGTCAGCCTCACATGTGGGTGAGTCCCGCCATCACTATGTTTTGAGTCAGCCCTCACTATGTGGCTGAGTTTAGCCTAAATAATGTGGCCCGGGGTCAGCCCTCATATGTGGCTTTGGGGGGTCAGCCCCTCCTATGTGGCGGATAGCTTCACTTTGGGTTTATCGGCCCTCAATATGTGGCTGGTCAGCCAAACACTATGGACTGGTAGCCATCACTTGTGACTGGTCCGTTTATCACTATATGGCTAAATCAGCCATCACTATGTGACTGAAACCCATCACTAGTGGCTTTAGTCGGCCATCACCCGTGGGCCCGGGTCGGGCCCTTCCCATGTGGCCCGAGTTTAGAAAAAAAAAGGGCTATGTGGGGTGAGTCAGCCATCATTATGGGCTGAGGGCAGCCATCAATTGGGGCTGGTGGGTCGGCCATAACTGTGTGGGTGGAAATCATTCCAATATGTTTTTTGAGTCAGCCATCAAATGTGGCCCAGGGCAGCCCCCCTCAAAATTTTCGGCTGAGTCAGCCATTTCTATGGACTGAGTCAGCCTCAAATTTTGTGGGCTGAGTCAGCCTCCCCTATTTTGGGGGAGACAGTCTTTAGTATAGGGAAAATCGTCATCCTATGTGGTTTATTTTAGCCAAACAGTAAAGAGGGGACTCAGCCATAGTATGTGGGCTGAGTTTCCCCCATCCATATGTGGCTGAGGTCAGCCATCACTTTTGTGACTAAGTCGGGCCTTTACTTGTGGCGGGGTCAGCCCTCACTATTTTGGCTGAGTCAAACCAAACAAATAGTGGCGAGGGCAGCCATCACTATGTGGGCTGAGATAGCCCTCACTATTTTGGCTGAGGGCAGCCATAATTGTGGGTGAGTCAGCCATACTGTATGGCCCAGTCAGCCATAATATGTGCCCGAGTCACCCCTCACTATGTGGTGAGTTTAGCCCATCACTGGTGGCTGAGTCAGCCCTCACGTTGTGCCTGAAATCAGCCAAACACTATGGGACCCCCCCCCCCCCCCCCCCCCCCCCCCCCCTTTTTTTTTGGCTGGTCAGCCCTCACTTTTTTGTGGCTGAGTCAGCCATCCCCTTGTGGCTGAGTTTAGCCATCACTATGTGGCTTTTTAGATCCAGGGGGGTTAGCCCCAAATTTTTGGCTGAGTCAGCCCTCAATGTGGCTGAGTAGCCATCACCTTTTGACGGGGTCAGCCACACTTTTGACTGAGTCCGTCATCACTAATGGCTAAAATCAGCCAATCACTATTGTGGGCTGAGTTTACCATCCCCTATTGGGGGGTGAGTCGGCCATCCTGGGGCTGGGTCAGCCAGGGGTTTTGTGGCTGAGGGCAAGCCATGAAATATGTGGCTGGCAGCCCCACTATGTGGCTGGGGGAGCCATCCCAAAATGTGGATGGCTGGGTCGGCCATAACTGTGTGGTGAGGGCAGGGCTTCAAAATTTTTGCTGAGTCAGCCATTCATGTGAATGAAATCCGCCTCACTATGTGATGAGTCAAACCATCACTTTTTTGGCTGAGGGCGGGCATCGTTGGGGGCTAAGTCAGTCTCCCTATGTGGCAGCAGCCATCGTATGAGGGAGTTTAGCCATCAGGGATGAGGCTGATCCCCTCACTATGTGGCTGAGCCGCCATCATATGGACTAAGTTTACCCAAACCTGTGTGGCTGAGGGCAGCCCCCTCACTGTTTTTGGTGAAATCGGCCATCACTATGTGCCTGAGTCAAACCCCCGGGCTTTTGTGGGGAGACCGCTATTCACTTGTTGCTGAGTCAGCCCCTCAAAAATGAGGCCCGGACAGGTTCACTTTTGGCTGGGGTTTAAAACCCCTTTACCCACTTTGGCTAGGGCAGCCATTTAAATATGTGCCGAGTCAGCCATTTACTATGCTGCTGAGCCCGCCATCACTAGGGGGCTGGTCAGCCCTTCCCTTTTTGGAGGTTTTTAGGCATCATATGTGGCTGAGTCAGCCCTCACTATGGGCTGAGGCCGCCTCACGTTGTGGCCCGAGTAGGCATCCCCCTGTGACTGGTTAGCCATGAAATATGTGGCTGGGTCCGTTTTCCCCATGTGGCTGAGTCGGCCCCCACTATTTTTTTTGCTGAGTCAGCCACAAATATGTGGCTGAGTCAGCCTCACTTAAAGTGGCTGGGGTCCCGCCCCTCCCCTATGTGACTGAAAATCAGTTTATCCATATGTGGCTGAGTAGCCATCATGTTTTGGTGAGTCAGCATCCTGTGTGGTGGGTCAGCCTTTACTGTGTGGCTGAAATCAGCCATCACTGTGTGGCTGAGTCAAGCCTCACTGTGTGGCTGAGACAGATCACTGTGGGGGTCAAACCATCACTGTGGGGGGCTGGGGGTCAGCCTTTACTGGGTGGCTTTAGTCAGCCCCACTTTTTGTGGTGAGTCAACCATGGAAATATGTGGCTGGTCAGCCATCCCCTATGTGACTGAGTCACCCCTTGGAAATATTTGGCCCGAGTTGCCCTTTACTATGTGGTGGTCAAACCCCTCCCAAAATATGGCCCGAGTCAGCCATTTTAATTTTTGTGGGGCTGAGTGAACCATCATTATGGTTTTTTTTGGAAGTAAAACAGGAGAGAAAAAGGGGGGGTATATTGGCCCTTTTTTTTGGACTTCAAAAAGGTATCGACACGAAACCCCACTTTGAGGGGGAAATGCAAAAGTAGGGACGGGGGTGTTACCCCCCCCCGGATGGAAGTGCAATGGACAGAGAAAACTGACAGGGGAGGCAACAAAATAATTTATGGAAAATGAGGAGGGGGTCAAGTTGGGGGGGGGCCCCGTGGGCGAGCGGGGGGGTTTTACAGGGGTCGTCCTAGAAAAAAGTGCTGGGTTTTTTGGTATTTTGAATTTACCTGCTGGGGAAATGATCGACTCGAAGGGTTTTTGTTTGCCGTTTATGTGAAGTTTAAAGAGGAGGGAAATTTAATCCCGGAAAGAGCCCTAAAAACCGGATTTTCAATGGGACCGGACAAGCTGCAAGGCTGGTCCAGCAAAATGGCCCCTTGGGGTTTAACCCTTACCCGATGCAAAGTCGTGAAGTCGGGGGGGCAAAAAGACCCCAGCAGAGTACAGCAAAGGGGGGAAAGACTGCAAAAACCCCATCAAGGGGAAAGGTCTTGGGGGGGGGTATAAAACCGGGGGCCCTTTTTCCCGAGACCCAAAATCAAAGATAACTTTCTTCAGCATAGGGGGGCGCTAAGGGAAAACCCGAGAATATCTTTTCCCAATTTCTCGTGTACGTCAGGCCCATACTGGAGTAAGCAGCACCAGGGCTGGAACCCCCACTGGTGAAGCAGTTGTAAATTACGGAAAATGCAAAGGTTTTTCCCAAAAAGACTAGTAACGGAGCTAAGGAAATTTTTCCCACTAAGAAGGTTAAAGGGGAAAAAGAATTTTACGACATTTGGGGGACAGGAAGGGTTTTGGGCGGGGCAGTTTTTACTACCCTATAAAAAAAACCGGGGAAGGAATTGAAAAAGGTGGAAAAAAAAATAAATGTTTTTAAAAGAGTTTGGGCTTTAAAAAAAGGGGTCCCCTTTAAAGCTGAAGACTCAGATGAGTCAGAGGGATGTTAGGAAGTATTTCTTCAGTCATAGAGTTCTCAGGAATTGGAATAGTTTTGAAAGTGTTGTAGTGAAGGCAGAATCATACATAGTTTTAAGATGAGGTATGATACAGTGAGACAGAGGACCTATTAGTGAGCAGTTAAGAGGTGCGGCCAGGAGCTGTGAATCGACCCTTGCAACCCCTGCAACCACACACACACACACACACACACACACACACTCACTCACTCACTCACTCACTCTCTCCCTCCCTCTCTCTCTCTCTCTCTCTCTCTCTCTCTCTCTCTCTCTCTCTCTCTCTCTCTCTCTCTCTCTCTCTCTCTCTCTCTCTCTCTCTCTCTCTCTAATTCCAACATTGCTTCTGTCTGACATGATTGTATCATCTTCCAGGTGGCTCGCTGTCACAAGGGGAAGCAGTGCCAATGTCGACTGTCGGACAGGAAGAACACATATACGAGGAGTGGACCGGTGGGCAGCTTCGACCCCCTTCTCCTACCTACATCACAGTGTACAACTCATACGATGACACAATGAACACAACAGAACAAGAGAGACCGAGCGATTGGATTTCTCCCCAAATCCAAGATGGCCTCTCGCACGACATTGATAAGACGACAGCACAGCAGATGCAACCCTCCGGCCGTAGTTCTAACCACGACATTGAGAATGACTCTACCTGAACATGAGGAACATGACACCACCGTCTGTTTCATCCACCAGAGGAAGAACAAACTAACATAACAGATGGGACAATCACCCAGTATCAATACTGCACAAATATAACTTTCTGTCTTATATAACATCAGACAGTATACCATCATGCAACAAAAGTATTCCCTCTAGTTCAACTAGCAACCAACACATCATGCAACTAGAAAATACTAGACATAGTTTATTACAGGAAAGAAAGTTAGGTGACCTAGAATAGGTTTATCTAGGCACAGGTGCACATAAGTACAATTATGATACATAGTGTAAGTTACCTAGAACGACCACAAGTAACTAACAACTAACAATGATCCGACATAGTGTAAGTTACGTAGAACGACCACAACTAACTAACAACTAACAATGATCCGACATAGTGTAAGTTACCTAGAACGACCACAACTAACTAACAACTAACAATGATCCGACATAGTGTAAGTTACCTAGAACGACCACAACTAACTAATAACTAACAATGATCCGACATAGTGTAAGTTACCTAGAACGACCACAAACTAACTAATAACTAACAATGATCCGACATAGTGTAAGTTACCTAGAACGACCACAACTAACTAATAACTAACAATGATCCGACATAGTGTAAGTTACCTAGAACGACCACAACTAACTAATAACTAACAATGATCCGACATAGTGTAAGTTACCTAGAACGACCACAACTAACTAATAACTAACAATGATCCGACATAGTGTAAGTTACCTAGAACGACCACAACTAACTAACAACTAACAATGATCCAACAAATTTAACTAAAGCTTCTCAAGATAACAGAAATAAATGACGACCACAATATTTCTCCCGGAGGATAATTATCAACATCAACTGCATCAATATTTCTCTCAGAGGATAATTATCAACATCAACTGCATCAATATTTCTCCCAGAGGATAATTATCAACATCAACTGCATCAATATTTCTCCCAGAGGATAATTATCAACATCAACTGCATCAATATTTCTCCCAGAGGATAATTATCAACATCAACTACATCAATATTTCTCCCGGAGGATAATTATCAACATCAACTGCATCAATATTTCTCCCGGAGGATAATTATCAACATCAACTGCATCAATATTTCTCTCGGAGGATAATTATCAACATCAACTACATCAATATTTCTCTCGGAGGATAATTATCAACATCAACTACATCAATATTTCTCCCGGAGGATAATTATCAACATCAACTACATCAATATTTCTCTCGGAGGATAATTATCAACATCAACTACATCAATATTTCTCCCGGAGGATAATTATCAACATCAACTACATCAATATTTCTCCCGGAGGATAATTATCAACATCAACTGCATCAATATTTCTCCCGGAGGATAATTATCAACATCAATTGCATCAATATTTCTCCCGGAGGATAACAAAGATATTGATGTCCAGCAGAATAAACTTAGTAATATTAACTGTGAATATTATGTGCATGGTACTGTAACTTATTATGTACATGGTACTGTAACTTATTATGTACATGGTACTGTAACTTATTATGTACGTGGTACTGTAACCTATTATGTGTATGGTACTGTAACTTATTATGTGCATGGTCCTGTAACTTATTATGTGCATGGTACTCTAACTTATTATGTGTATGGTACTGTAACTTATTATGTGCATGGTACTGTAACTTATTATGTACATGGTACTGTAACTTATTATGTGCATGGTACTGTAACTTATTATGTGCATGGTACTGTAACTTATTATGTACATGGTACTGTAACTTATTATGTGCATGGTACTCTAACCTATTATGTGTATGGTACTGTAACTTATTATGTGCATGGTCCTGTAACTTATTATGTACATGGTACTGTAACTTATTATGTACATGGTACTGTAACTTATTATGTACATGGTACTGTAACTTATTATGTGCATGGTACTGTAACTTATTATGTACATGGTACTGTAACTTATGTGCATGGTACTCTAACTTATTATGTACATGGTACTGTAACTTATTATGTACGTGGTACTGTATCTTATTATGTGCATGGTACTGTAACTTATTATGTGCATGGTACTGTAACTTATTATGTACATGGTACTGTAACTTATTATGTGCATGGTACTGTAACTTATTATGTGCATGGTACTGTAACTTATTATGTGCATGGTACTATAACTTATTATGTGCATGGTACTGTAAGTTATTATGTACATGGTACTGTAACTTATTATGTACATGGTACTGTAACTTATTATGTACATGGTACTGTAACTTATTAAGTACGTGGTATTGTTGTGATGCAGTTCAGATGGGCTTGTGAGGTCTCTAGGGAGACCTAATTATATGGTCACACCTGCCTTAGCAAATGTCGGGTAGTCACGCCCACGTCTGAGGTCTTTTGTTCTTAACGGCGTCAGACCTCGGCGTCAGGTCGTAACACGTGGTACATACACCATTGGGGAGGGGGTACTTTGACTACGATATAAGCCCAGGGAACAGCGGAGCAAAGAGGTTGTTGGTGACAGGTCCGGGGAGCGAGAGCTCTGGACAGCCGCATGTGTAGTGGACCACGCATTGGGAATCTCGGGTCAGCTGGTCGGTGAATTAAGAGTGAGTACTAGTCCGTGTTACTGATAACATCTACCCTTCCCCCTGGTAATAAGTCTCATAGGTCAATTGTTATATTGTGTAAATTTCCATCAGGAGATGTTGTATTCTAGCCCTTTTATGTTATTAAGTAAACTATAGCCATAGTTCCCATTTTTATTTGTACCTTCATATGCTATTCCCTATTCTGTTAAGCACTGGGATATACAGGCACTGGGATATACAGGAGACGTGCTCACTCGCTGGGATACCTCAGGTAGAGTGGGTAGAGGTCTCATATGGTGGCAGCGGTTTAGCGTTTATCATTAAACGCGGCTCACGTGCTTTACGACTGGTCGGTTTTTGCTATCAAAACCAAATATTAATTTCTTTGTGTCGCCTATCATTTGTTTTACCGTTCACTGTGACCGTAACCTTAAGAATAAACCAGGACAATCCTACTCTTATGGTTGTCAGGTGGGTGATGACCAAATATAATTTGCGTAGCAAGACGTTAAATAGTGCAATCAAGACGATCCAGTAGGATACAAGGTGAAGTTCCTCGTGAACAGAATGGCAGAGCTAACGTCAATGTTAGTGATCTCGCACCAGGCTCAAGTGAAGGGTCTAGCAACATGGTTCCACAGCAAGATTCAGCGATTAATGTTAGTGAGGGTATAAATAATCAAGAAATGAGATTTCAGTGATAAATAATACTTCAGGGTACATATGTCAGGGACAAACCATCCCCAGGCCCAAGGCTCTGGAACGAATGTAGGTTCCACGGTGACACCCAGTAGTACCACGAATACTATGGCCCCAGTGGTATCTAATACATCTACCACTGCTGTTAGCCCGGAGTATCAACTTTACCAACCGGGATGCTACTAACCCCATACCTCCGTATTTTAATAACCCAGTTAATGCTGACTATAGTATGTATCCTTATCTTAACTCTGTGCTTCATAGTGTTATTGCTCAAGTTATGAGTAACCCTCAATCCCCTATTGTTGTAACCTGCTCCCCAAGTCCCTGGGTAGCTGCTCTAGGGTTCCCACTTCTGCGCCTGGTTTCTACAGTTACTAGTATACCTAACCCCTCATTAACCATAGCTTCCCTGCTGTGTCAGGTGTTCACCTGCCCAATGCTGTTCCTGTAAATACTAACCAAACACCCACACGTGTAACTACAGCTGGGGAACCATTCAGTATTTCCCCGAATGGGTCCTTATCTATTATACCGGGACTCCCGACCCAACCCCAACTTCTGAGCCTCCAGCCTTCCCAGGTCAATCCTTCCCTAACCAAGCCACTCAACGTCCCAACGAACCCTATGCTTCAGCAAAAGATTTTATCTGGGCATCAGCTCCGATAGTAGTGTTGGAACCTCTATGTGTGGGACAGTAATTGTTGATAGGCCATATTTAGAAAATTTGCCGAAATTTCATGTAGAAGATTTGCCGAGGATCCCATCGAAAGAAATATCAAAGTAGAAGCTTGGATTAAAAATATTGAGGCCATTTGTTTAATATATCTGATGAAAAAAATTAAAGTTTTACTGGGATTCAGGGCAACTGTAGATAACACAGCATCCATATTTAGTCTCCCACAATTTATTAACGTAAAGAACTGGAGTAATTTTCAAGGATGCTATAAGATATAGGTTCCAGACGGCAGTATCAGTTGAAAATATCCATCGATACCTGGAACATTTGCAACTGAAGGAAGGACACACTCTAAGGGACTTCAGTTGTCTGGTATGGTCCAGGGTGGAAGTTGTGAACGGAACTTTAAAATATAATGCAGAACAGCTGGAGCTTTATAGAAAGCAGATATTTTGTGAAGGTTGCCAGTCTGGATGAGAACTAGAGTTGCTATGGTACTAGCGATTAAACCTTCGAAGAACTAGTTCAATATGCCATGTCTCTCGAGTCCGAATATGGTAGAGACAGAAAGGGAATAGAATTATTGCCTCAGAGAGAGTAACACCTGAGTCACCATATGTGGCGACAACCCATAATGAGAAGAAGTATATACCCCCGCACCGCAGGACAGGCGGTGGTGGGCGTAATAAACAGAATGCTCGGAGAACTAATCAATGCTGGGAGTGTGGCGGGATTGGCCATATTAGGGCCAACTGCCCTAATTTTCGTTCCTAACGAAAGAAGAAGGTACAAGGTTAAGAAAGATAGGTCTGATAACCTTGTTACCAAAGATGAAAGACCTATGATTAAAGTAAGAGTAAATGGAAAAAATTGGTAGCTTTCATTGATACGGGAAGTCAGGTGTCAATAATTAAAGTGAGATGTATGTAATAACTGGAGGGGTTGTAAAATAAGCAAAGCTAAGAGAGATATTACTGCTGTAAATGGTAATGATATTAATGTCGAGGGACAAACGGACCTGTACTTTGAACTGGGTGAAAGTTATAAAGTTCACGCTTGTTTAGTAGTGTCTGGAGTAAGGTTTCCAGGGACTTACTCTTAGTATGGATTTTCTCAGAAGTTTGACTTCCTCTTGTCGTATGGCAAAGGAAGGGGAACCAGTCGGCTGATACTGGATGAGGTTTCCTTTCCAATAAAATTCACAGAACATCCCTCAATAGTAGCTTCTATGAGTAGGAGTAATAAATTATTCAAAACCCATCTAAATCACTTTTGAAGCGCAGTTACCTAATGTGAACTCTGCAGACGCAGATTATGCAGTTCACGTATTATATAACCAGGTATGTCCACCTAATACATTCAAATTTATTAAAGGTTCAGTGGGAAGGAAGGTCGAGCCAGGAAGTATCTTACAATTAGCTGGGAAGCTAGAATCCTTCCTGGTGCCTCATCATCTAGCCCAGGTTTCTGAGAAAAGACATATCTTAATCCAGTGATAAATCTGACAAGTAAAGCGTTAAGATTCAAGAATGGTAGAAGGTTAACATCAGCTGAGATTATCCCCAAAGACTTAATTTTTGAACCTGACTCCGTTAAGCTACCTGCCCGAGGTCAACAATGTGGAGCACTTAATACCAGAGTCCCAGAAAGGGTAGTGACACCTGCCACTCCCACCCAGAACGAAAGTAAAAGGGAAAAGACATTTAATGATGTAAATCTAAATCATTTAAAATGTTCTGAGAAGGAAATAATAAAGAATGCTTTAAGTAACTTTCCAAAGTTGTTTTCAATGGATGAAGGAGATATAGGCTTCCTGCCCAGATTGAGCATACTATACCTACAGGTGACAGTTTACCTGTCCAAACCCGTCAATGGAGACTCCCAGAAGAGGCTAAGAGAGTAATAAGGGAGGAATGTAATACCATGCTCCAGAACGATGTAATTGAACCGAGTTCATCACCGTGGCTCTCACCTGTAGTGTTGGTAAACAAACCAGATAACTCTTATCGGTTCTGTGTGGATTATAGGAAAGTGAATGAAATAACAATAGCTGATAGTTATCCCTTGCTCCTAATTCAGGAAATTCTGATTCATTGGAACAGCTAAGTATTTTTCGACTTTGGACGCTAAGTCAGCTTATTGGGCCATCCCCGTTTCAGAAGAAGATAGAGAGAAGACAGCATTTCTCAGATGGGGTCAGATTATACCAATTAAACGAATGCCCTACGGGTTAAAAAACCGCGCCCTCTAGCTTCCAAAGAGCTATAAACTTCATCCTCAGCCCTGTGTTGGGTAGACACTCACTGGCATATCTTGATGATGTGGTAGTCTACTCCCGGTCATTTCCAGAACATGTAGACAACCTTGTGGAGACACTAAAACTACTGGATAAAGCAGGATTAAAGTTGAATGCAAAGAAATGTATAATAGCAGCCACTAGCTTTAAATTTCTAGGCTTTCAGGTGAGCCCTGAAGGGATTCGCCCTGACCCTGATAAGTGTAAGGCAATATCTGAAATGCCAAGACCTAGAACAGCAAGGAAGTCAGGAGGTTCCTAGGTGCAGCAGGATACTTTAGAAGACATATTAAGGGTTTTGCAGAGCTAGCAGCACCAACTGACAGATCTAACTAAGAAGAAAGCTAAGTTTGTATGGAAAGAAGAACATGAGTTGGCTCACGAAAAATTAAAGGCTGAGCTTACAAGTGAGCCGGTATTAGTGGTCCCTGATTTTTCCAGAGAGTTTGAGATACATACAGACGCTTCAGCAGTTGCAATAGGAGGTTGCCTAATGCAAAGAGACAAGGAAAATAACCCACACCCAGTAGCGTATTTTAGCAGAAAGATTAAAGGACCGGAAGTCAGGTATGCCATCACTGATAAAAAGCCTTGGCAGTGGTAGAAAGTGTGAGATACTTTGAACCGTATGTATTTCAGCGCCATTTTAAAATAATAACAGATCACAGGGCATTGGTGCACATATTTAAAAAGAAAACTCGCTGTCCTAGGATGTCTAGATGGGATTACGAACTGTCAGCACACTCGTACCAGATTCTTTATAAACCAGGAGCCTCACACCATGTACCAGACGTATTGAGTAGGAATGTAGCAGCAATAAATGTTGATGTTAATATTGAGAATGTGAACAATGAAAAATTAAGAGAGTACCAACTGGAAGAGAACAGGTGGAAGGAGATATTGAGTATTTGGAGGGAAGAGAAGCTCCCGTGCCACAAGCCAAGCCGCCCTATTGATGAATTCGAGATGAAAGACGGTGTGCTACATAGGATTACGGAGCTGAACGATCGTTCAGTACAGCAGTAGTAATACCCAATGTCCTCAGGAAGGCCGCTCTGAAGCTTGCACACTCATCCAAGATGGCTGGCCATCCAGGTGTTTTTAGGACTTATAAGAGGGCCAAAGAAATGTTCTACTTTCCTGGTCTCCTGAATTATGTAACCGAATATGTAAAATGTTGTGGTAATTGCCAAAGGAGGAAAGGTAACCCTCAGGTTAATGTGGAATTGCAAGCTTTTCCGAGATTAAGGAGCCGTTGGACCGGTTGGTGCAGATCTTATCGACTTACATAATAGTTATTCAGGCAATAGGTATGTTCTTGTGCTGGTGGACCATCTGTCACGGTATGCAACACTTGTACCCATCCCTAAGAAAGACCCACAGACTGTTGCAGAGGCGCTCCTTAATAGATTCGTAAGCAATATTTGGACCTCCTAGAGAATTAGTAACAGATCAAGGTTCAGAGTTTAAAAGCAAGGTATTTGCAGAGGTTTGTAACACACTTAGAAATAATGACAGCATTCACGACAGCTTATCATCCACAGGCGAATGGTATGTGGAAGAACGAACCAAGTAGTCAAAAATACACTGGCCATTCTCTCAGAGAAAGAACCATTACAATGGGATAAATATATACCATATGTTCAATTGCTTTAAACACCGCTATTCACAAATCAATAGGGACACAACCATTATTCCTATTTACAGGGCATGACTGTCATTTTGCAGCAGGCTTGGTGAACCAAGCAGTTGTCAGATACGGTGAGGACTATCCTTCAGAAGTCCTAATAAAAATGAGAACTGCTTGGCGAACTGCCGCCCAGGCATCTGTAGAGCGCAG